CCTACCTATGGACACGCATGATGGCCGACGCAGTTCCCCCGTCCCGAATGAAATCCCCAAACCGGACGAAACCTCAGATCCAGTCAAGCTGCCAAGAGGGATCAGTGACGTTGAGGTCAAGTATCCCCCCAGTTGCGCGCTAATTTTGTGACTGGCACGGTTGGCTCGTGGGTGTTTCTTTACTGCACCGATTACGTTGTAATGGCTGACGCGGGAGGTTGACCTGTGGGAGCGCCGGGGACGACGCTCAAAAGAGGAGGGAGGCTATGTAATACGATAGTGGTTTATCTTTCGGTTCTGGTGAGGCGCCACTTTTGTACTTCGAATTAGCCCCCTTGTACCTCGCTGGGTGGGCTGGCCTTTTGGGCCATGCCAATAGCCCGGACACCTTCTCCGTGCTGAATATATATTCTGCCCGAGTATTTTGTCTTCTTTCGTCTTCAGGGAGTCTCGGGACGCTGCACAGGACCACTTTGAATAATTTTTCCAATCACGCAAATTACAAAGTTGCCGAAGAGGGGTGAATATCGGGTATAAGCAATGAAACCAATCATCTGTCTTTATGCATGAACACTTGTTTTAGGTACTTAAGCTCCTGCAGTTTCGTCGGCCACTTGCTTGTTTTTTTGATGTCAAGCTAAACCAAGTTCTAGAAGCCGACTTTTATAAATGTTTACAGACTTTAAAGCGGTTTTCACCCGATAAAGCACAGCAAGACTAAATTATGCTTGATACACTCAAGCAGGAGGGGATAATTTTTTAAATGGCTAGCAAAGATATTCGCTTTCAGACACTTTAAGTGCAAATCAGGATTAGGCCTAAGATCTTGACGTGTGAGACACTAATTTAAAAGGAATAGTAGATGTCGGATTTCAAAATCTGCATTGGTGCGGCACCTCCAGTGGGGTTGATTTCTGTTATGAGACAGTTTGTTCTAAGGTTTCTAAACGAAACTTGCCAGTCAACCTCTGATTTTTGCGGATTTTTAAATAAAGTTTTAGCACGCAGCCATAGGAATCAGCACTAAAGTGGAAAATCAGGAGTCAGAGTTTAAAATATATCGAAATTCCAATGGTTGGGGCTACGGAACTCCAAAAGAATCTGTTAACTTGATTTAGTGTCTAAGGGCAAACCAATTTTTTCATGCATTTTAAGGTCGTGCCTTTGAAATACATATAATACCTTTTCGAACGTGATCGTTTTTGTTTAGCTGATTTCCTTACATCACCTTCGCCTATCGGCTGTGAACCCCCTTGAAAGCGGCTGCCAGTCTGAATTGCTAAGATGTCTCTCGATAAGCTTGATATGGAAAAGAGGAAGCAGATTAGCGTGCGCGGTATCGCGCAGGTTGAGAACGTTGCTAATCTAAAAACCTCATTCAATCGTCATCTACATTTTGATATTGTCAAAGATCGTAATGTTGCAACCCCGAGAGATTTCTACTTGGCACTTGCAAGAACCGTCTGGGACCATCTTTGCTCACGTTGGATTAGGACCCAGCAGGCTTACTATAAGGAAGATCCGAAGGTATATTTTGTCTTCCCGATTTATTGCAAAATAATTCGAATTTACTCAACGCCTGCAGCAGGGGTATACAAGTGCATTTTTACCTCCAATGGTAATAAACCATTTTCTGTTTTTGATTGGACAGAGACCAGATAAATAATATCTGGTAATACTGCCCTGTTACATACAATTCAATGATAAATTCGAAAAGCCGCTAATAGACTTATGCGTAAGCACTGTAGGCCTGTTGTGCTGCAGATATTATTTTCAAAAAAGTGTTTTTTGCACTATTAGAAATGGGATGAATTACTTATTTTGGTAGTCATATTTTTGTCAATAAATTATTGATAAATATTGCCATCTATCTCTATGGTTTAAAATGGAAATAAAGCGCAAATTTCTTAGTCTGCAGTCTAAGGGCATGTTTTACTTGACCTACTAGGAATATTTTTTGGTATAACTTGTTATTCATCATCGCCGACTTTTGATCTTGGGTATCTAACAAGCCGTAGGCCTTCGTTTAAAACTGAAAATTACTTATAGCTTTATTATTCAACTATTTCTACTTGTTTCAAAAGGTGAATGAAGGTAAGACTCCATTTGTACTGCTTTTACTAACATTCTGGGTCGTCGGTGAGCTTCCATTAAGTTCAGTTTTTCGTATTATTTGTCGGATTTTGCTTTCACTTTTCCTCTAACTATTTAATGGCCTATCTTTTAGCGTGTGTACTACCTCTCACTGGAGTTCTACATGGGACGTACACTGACTAACACGATGATGAACGTTAACGTTTCTGCGGCCATCGATGAGGCTCTTTACCAGGTAAGGTCACTTCTAAAGACTTCTAAAAATTATCAGTTCTGATTACTTCTTGATTGTTTTACCTCTCTTCTTGTTTTAGATGGGTTTGGATATAGAAGAATTGGAGGAGATAGAAGCCGATGCAGGTCTGGGGAACGGAGGCCTT